GTACAAACACAAGGATATTTATTCAGAAAGCGATGTGGATTTCATCAGACACCATGACACACTACAGTGAAAATCAGATCGACTTCATGTCAATGTGAAGAAAGTGGAGACGCAGCCTACCAGACACAAGATGAAGAAGAGGAGGAGCAGATGTAGGTTCACACCACTCAATACCTAACTAGTGCAAGGAAACGTCAAAATTAAGTTTAAAACTTTCAAAGAAGCTGGTGATAGACCACAGTTCAATTTCTACACCCACCTAGAACAGAAACTGAAGAACGAAACTACAAAGGACATCTTCACTTCAGTCAGTCAGTCAGTCACCAGAACAGAATGGGAGATATTGAGCAACATCCCTGAAAAAACCTGAGTGGAAGAACACTAGAGAACTGAACACAACCTATAAAACACTACACTGGAGAAAGAAGTGAAGAAGAGTGCACGCAAAGACAAAAGACACTTCTACGACACACTGACAAGTGAAGCAGAACAGGCTGCAGGTAAGAGAGACAGAGACCTTACATCATTATATCAAATAACCTAACCAGGTTACTTACTATCTGGGAGGAGAGAGATCAACACACATGAAACCAATGAAAGATAGTGAAGGAAACTCAGATACCACCAAAGAGGAGAAACAAACGAAGCGATAAGCTAACCACTTCGAAAAACTCTTGAATCGACCATCACCACCACCACCACCACCTGCAACTCGTCCACAAATACCAACAGACGCCCAGCCACAGAACAATCAGTGAACACAAGCCTTCCGACAAAAGCAGAAGTGAAGTCCTGAACGCCATAAAGCTGCTGAAATCCGGGGAAGCAGCAGGACCAGATGGAATTCCGCCAGAAACACTGAAAACAAATGCAGGGACAACAGCCAACATGCTCACACCACTATTACACAAGGTTTGCAAGGAAGGAAGGAAGGAAAGGTATCTTGAGATTGGAAGAAGGGCTACCTTGTCAAACTCTCAAAGAACAGTCACCCAAAAACTGGTGTGGAATCATGCTGCTATCCACCCCAACCAAAATATTAGGCCGCATCATCCTGGAGAGACTGGAAAATGCTCTCGATTCAAAATTACAACACGAACTGGCTCGCTGGTGACTGACTGACTGACTGGCTTCACGAAAAACAAATCATGTGCAGATCAAATTACAACCCCACGCTACACATCATCATAGAACAGAGCATAGAATGCCAGTCAACTCAACTTCATCGATTTCGGAAACGCCTTCGAGGGCGTCGACCGAGAAGTAATTTGACTGGCAGCTGCTTCAATACTACGGTTTTAGTACGACAAACATCACCTCTATCAACCTCATTCAACAGCAGCTATATACCACATGGTGCTACATGCCAAGTAATTCACAATGGAAAGCTTAGTAATGCCTTTGAAGTGAAGACAAGAGTAAAACAAGGCTGCCGTCTACCATCACCGATGAGCTTCCTGATTGTGGTCGACTGACTAAACTGAACTGAACTGGAGTGGAGTGGAGTGGACTGGACTGGACTGGATCATGCAACAGACAACTGTGAGAAACGAGAAGAGGGGCACACGCTGGCTGGACAGATGAAAAGACCCCAGAAGAAGATTTGCATTTCGCCAACGATGATCATGATGATGATAATTTATGTCTAATGTCTTGTCGCACAAACTCGAAGATCTACAGGCGAAAACCAACAAGTTAGCAGAAGTGGCAGGGCAGCGAAGACGGGACTTCCTTCAGGTGAATGTAGAAAAGACAGAGGTGATGAAGATACCCAACCATCACCATCACCACCACCACCAACAACAACAAGCACCAATCAACATCAACGGGAGAAATCTAAAGGAAGTTATCTCTTTCACCTGCCTCCCTACCTATACAGCATCGTTTCAACTACAGGATCACAAAGGCAACAAGACAGGCCTTCCTACATTAACCACTCTGGAGATCTACTCCACTCCACTCAGCATAAAGCGTGAACGACATCCGGATTTTCGACACTGATATCAGTCAAGTCAGTGCTTCCATGTGAGGCTTCAGAGACTTGGTGTGTTACGGAAAGCATTTGCAACAAACTACAGACATTCATCAACACCTGCCACCTACACTCACTCGATACTGACACTGAAGATCAGATGGATGGCCAGAATAATAAGAATAGGCAACAAGCAACTGTGGCTGGCTGGCTGGCTGGCTGGCTGGCTGGCTGGCTGGCTGGCTGGCTGGCTGGCTGGCTGGCTGGCTGGCTGGCTGGCTGGCTGGCTGGCTGGCTGGCTGGCTGGCTGGCTGGCTGGCTGGCTGGCTGGCTGGCTGGCTGGCTGGCTTGCAACAAACCAACCAACCAAGAACCCACAACGCCCAACAACTATGCAGAAGACGAAAGTGGAGATGGGTTGAACTAGGCATACACTGAGAAGACCATTTGGGGACTTGACATGCCAGACCAGGTCCTTGAGTATAATCCAATGGGGAAACGAAGAGTTGGGCGTGCGTCCCAGCTGAGGGTGACATGGACGAGATGGTGTGAGGAAGGAATGAAAGCTTGTGGACAGTCGTGGGGTGAGGTTGAGAAGACTGCAGAGAACAGAGTGGAACAGCGATGTGCTACTGAAGCCCTATGTTCCACTATGAACCCAAAGGACAAATAATAAGAATTAAATACCACACAGAGTATAGTCCAAAACTTTTAGGTCTCATACTCAACATGCTATCATTAAGTCGTGTGCCATCTGGTGTTGTTTTGTGAGAAGGGCCGTCTTGAAATTGATCAATGAAAGAATATTTATGCATTTAAAGCACACACTAAAATAACTTTGAACCTCATTCATAAGTTCAAGTTACTGCAATCGGTAACAGGGAAGAAAAAGAAAACGTAAACAATTCTGAAATATAATTTTTTTGTCCATAAATCATCGTCACATCCAGTCATTGTGAAATGAGAAGGATTTCAAAAAGGGCGTGGAGGATAGGTTACGTATTAAGCGATGAAGGCTCAATTATGCAACTTCGCTTCATTTTCTAAGCTGTGAACTAGGCATATTTTATGACGCTAAAGTATTGAGTCCACCAATAAACTACCCTGACCAATGTAAGATGTATCCATAGGCAGAAATTAATTACTTCAGATACTAAACAATGGAAGCACATTTGATCATTATGATGTCTTACCATACATTGACTTCATAAATATTTTTTAAAGCATATTTACTGGAACGACACAAGCAAAATTCATTCGATAAAATAAAACACACTTTTTAAACACTCTAACCTGTTTGAGATTTGTTGCTTTGGTTAGACACGAGCATATTCAGAAAAGTAATTTAACAATTCAACAAAAATTTAGACTTTAATGCATCACATCCTATCGGTTCAAAGGTCTATACCACTTGTAGCCTCTTAATGATAGCACGTAATCAAATTACGAAAGAAGATGAAAAGAAATTAGGAATTTAAGTGTCTAATCAAAACCCTTATCATGAATAACCATCTGGTAAAATTGGTTCTCAAAACCGAAAGTAATATTTAACTAAACCTATGAAGCATTCCCAAATTTCGGACTCCTACACTAGTCACCTGAAACTGGTTACATACTACAGATTAAGTCAGAAGACTGCTCAGTAAATGCAATACTAAAGTATTCAACAGAACACATCACACAGCACTGCCGTTCAGGTAAAGGACTAAACTCCTCGAGACTCCTAATCTTATTGTATATAGAAAGTCAAAAAAGACTTAGAATACGGCACTGTATATATAAGACAAACTCCATGTTTAAACAAACTCAGGGAAAACTAATGTTGAAATGCTTACATCTAACCTCCTAGAAATTTAGTAAAGCTCAAATAGCTTGATAACAGCTATGCCATATGCCTGAATTTGAGGTCACAAGGTTGATCTTGACAATACATAAATTATCCAAAAAGGCTTAAAAATTCTAAGGAACGCATAATTTGGAATCAAAATTCGACATTAATGACAGCAAGCGCTGGAGTCTACAATGCATATATAATCCTGTTGAGGAGTCGCTAACTGGACCTTTCTTCTGTTCAGTGAGTGATGTTTTTCCCACTAATAGTGGAACCCAGAATCGATCGCCTCAGACGCTAGAACATTATCCACCATCGCAGTCGATCATGATAGTTACTGAATGTAGACATTATATTTAAAATTTTAAACCTAAGAGATGAATCTCGAATAGAAAGACTTGAGTCCTGAATCCCACTGCTAGTCACTACCCATCATTATCAGTATCAAATTGAAATAACTATATACTGATTGCCGTTGATCAGTTCGGTTCATTCAGCAACAGGAATTTATAAACAATAGCATCATGGAATTAATATTCCGTAGAAAGTAATAAAAAACTAGAGCATAGCTTGATCTGGTTTGAACCCACCACCATATTAGTGACAAGCAATACAAATTTAATTACGTGTGTACGTGTAAACTTAAATGTGTGATTCACACTTAGTTTCCCATCACTGGGAAATACAATAATCAAAGAGTAATGAAATATGATTTTATGATCAATAGAGAAGTCTTACAGTTCATTCTGTTCTCAACACCCAACCTACATATTTTTTTCAAAAACTGTCTTGATCATCCTTTTTTCTTGAATCAAGACGCAAATACTATTGCGTCTCTTTCATAACAGAAACTGATTGCTGATTTCTTTATAATCTTAATTAATGCATTTATTTTGAAATGATGATATGAGGATGATGGTAGTTAGGTGTTGTATGAGCTTTCCTACTTCGTTTCATCACAAGGCAGTAACTGGACTTAGTTACTGATGCAAAACTTGTGCCTGAAAATGAAATCAAACTTTCCATTTTGGATCCACTTTCGAAAAGTGGTAATAGGATTATAATGTACTTCCTTCCTAATCTCTGAGTTCTGACGTAGTTTCATCTCTTTAAAATCAAATTTCGTTGTGTCCAGTTGTCTCTTGGCTTTTCACAATCATTTTTATTCGTTTATTGTTCAATATCTTCTCATTATAGGCGTTTGATTTGGTTGACTCAAATGTATCCGACGAGCTAATGAAGCGGCTTCAACTGTTGGTCAACCATTTAAGTCCAGGAAATCGTCAGTTAGCTGGGTTGATTTTTCATCACTTGCACAGGTAAGTTTAACAAGAATCATTCTTATCTCTGTATCCAATATTTTAGAAACTATTTAGAAATATTTCGACTAATACCGGATTGCAATTTCATCAAAATGTTTTAACTACTAACGAGTAGACAAATTATGAAAACAAAAAGTGATTCCGGTAACGTCCTTTGACTGCCTTCAAAACAATTGAAGTTGACATGAAAACCTCTTATCACTGTGGACTTCAGTCGAACATCCTCTTGATTAAGGTTTCACTGCCCCACCAAACAAACTATCAACCCAACAACCTGTCAACCAGTAGTCTACCAGATAGTCTAACTAAAAATCACTATATTATTTGCCATTTATAAATTTATCTTGATTTGCATTCGGATGGGGGAACCAGTCGGTGTATGTAGTGTAATAATGAACTGGTTCATATGACAACTTTCCAAAGATCTCGATTAGTGGAGGGAAACTGAGAACTGGTCTGAAAATTGGGTCTCGTAGCATACTTGAGGTCATGTATAAGGTCGGTAATCCAGAGGTTGCTGTAACTCAGGTTTTCATGTTAACTTCCGTAGTCATATTTCGAAATAAAAACTTTTGAAAATAGTTAATAAACCTTCCTTACGTATCAGAAAAGTGAATCAAGGAGTAAAATCAGAGATTTTGTTTAGTATTAATTACAATACAATAATACACCTCATGAGTCAAACGCCTTTAATCAGATGAAATAAGAAACACCATCTGCTGTATAAAGAAGGCATGACATTTACAACTCGATAGTTTTCAGAAAATCACGAAACTAAAACCATAAAGTACTGAGCACCCTACTTTACCTATTTTGAGACTACTCAGCTGTAGTGACTTTTGATCGCAAAAGGGCTCAAACCGAGGATGGTTAAATCTTACACTGAGCAGCATATTGTTCAATCACCAAATAGGAAAAGTAAATCAGGATTTCACTGTCTAAAAATACGTTTGAAAAGTAGTGTAGCAGGATTGTAGTCTATTTTTACTCATCTCTTAGTTTATCTGATAGTTCATGAATTCCTGTTAGTCGGAAATCAGTTAATCACTGAGTTACTACTAAGCAAAGTCAAATTCCGATTGGTAAGTTATCTAGTGATAGTTCTTAACGCGGATTTTGTACCGTTTCATAACTGATTTCAGTCACTGATAAGAGCGATTTTCAAACTGCTATTAATAATACAAGCACATTTCCTGAAGGTTGACTGCATACCAAAATGTAAACGTGTACCACTATCTTTACGCCAAAGCCCATGGTACGTCACAAATACTTTGTTCATCGTCACATACATTTCATGATGATGAAATGTAGCATGACTAACAGACTTTTAGCAAGTTTGATAGATCGTAATTAGTTCTCAGACTTATCTAATGCTAGATATCTCACTGCTCTAAACTACAGCAATCGAGCAGGCATTACTTTGACTAAAAAAATAAAGATTGAGAATAATAATCCTAAATAAAACTAAGAATCAAACTTTGTCTGTAATCACATAAAGTAAATGCTGCAATGTTAACGACAACTAGTAGAAATTACTGTTACATAATTATTGCATCACTACTGTTACTTGTCACCAAGGGAAAACGCTGTCCAACACTCAATACTCAACCCTGTAAGGAGTGGCTTCTTTTTTCGTAAACTTGAACACATCTAGCTAAATGCATTTCAATAGTTTAGAGATATCATTCAGCTACTATTTCTGCATCTGAAAATACTCTATTATTCTTACAAGAAGAAACATTCATGCCGAATCTTAGTTAAAAAATTGTATTTTACAATATCATTGTACAAATATAGAGTTGCTGAATGTCAGTCAGAAAATCAGATGGGTGCGGCTAATTTGGGTACTATGTTTGCTCCAACTGTTCTACGTCAAAGACCGAAGTGAGTTTACTGGTTTCCTTCTCTGTACATTGCATTCACTTATGTAACATGACACACAGCTGATAATGATGATGCAGGTGTACTCAAAATGTCGAAATAGTTGTGAATTACTTTCTTCAAACAGTTTAAATCACTTAGTCCACTAGTTAGATTATACGATTTAAGTAGCGGTTTTTACTGTACCAGGCATAGACGGATCAGGACAACTAATGTTACTTTAAATACGAGAACACAGTACAGTTTGACTAGTTCGCAAAACAAAATGTTACAGTAAAAATAAACCAATCCTTGTGAAAACAAAAAAGGAGCGGCTTGGGGAAAAGACAGTTTCACAAATTTTAGATTTTTTCTCAGCAGAAATCTTGTAACTGGAATGCAAATCGCTCTTCATGTGAAATCCCCATTACAGACAATTATTAGTTAAGTTGAAATGGACACAAACGGAGCAGAACGCGTGAGGAAGGTAAGCATATTTTGTGTCCACTAATCTATTATAACATTTCTGATGATGAAAAACAGTACTACTCCATACAAGGCTTGTTTCAGATGTGCTAATGAGACTGTGCAATGTAATTTAAATGAAAGAAACATTGTTTATTGATACTTGTGGTAGCCTTTGTTTGTTATTTTACTGATCAGTTTGGTCTTGTGAAATAGTAATTAACAGGAAACTAAATGCATCAGCAGACAACAAATGATACCCGTTGCACAAAAGGTGACTTTTATTAGTCAGTAGCTCAGTGGTTACGCTGTGGCGTTTGGAGTGATGAATGCTGGTTTCTAGACTCAGTGGAAACACTGTCACTCACCGGAGTACAGGTATATGCAGCTGGAGAGTTTCAAATTGGTCCAAATGAGTGTCCTAGGTTCTACTGTTAGCCATCACCAAGCAAATACAATGGAAACACAGTTTAAATTTGGAAACTAACAAAGCTTTTGTTTTAGTCTACACAGATTCAATGAGTACTTAATTCAATCGATTCTCAAATATGGCTCATCAGCTTATGCACTCACCAGTTCGAACCATCTTTTAGGCACTAAGGTTTAGATAACCAGATAGTCTCCTCAGTCATCATACAACAAAACTGGCTATTAATGCATTATATTAACCTGTACGCCGTTGATAAATTATCTTACGTTTTTTATCATCTTCAGCTAAATGCGAGTTGACGAGGTGAAGTATACAAGACAGAACACATAAGTATGCCATTGGTCATACGTGTGAGAAAATGAATGAAATAAACAGCGTACAAACAAAAATAGGGTATGAGATGGGATCTTAAAAAGCTCGCCATATTTAGGATAAAACACAGAAAAGACGTTTCAAAATAAGAATTCTCTTTGAATTTCTTTTTAGAATAATTTTTGTCGTATATCAACTTATAAGCTTGTGATAATGACTAGTGAAGCTCTAACCATTATAAATAACTTTTCCTACTTAATAGTCGCCAAATGATAAAGATGAGGTAGTTATCGCAATGTACTGAAATATAAATATGGTGTGTTTCTCAAGATTAAAATCAATTATTTCCTGGGCTTAGTTTTGATTGGTTATCTCTTCAGTATAAAGAAAGAAAACTATCATCAGTTCATACACTTAGATTAGTAAACTTAGTGTTGTTTTACGTTGGAAGATATGACTAAGTTAATGAGTGACTATTTTACAAAGTTTTTCCCTTCATATTCCCAGTCAGGATGATAATGAAGGAATAACTTACCATTGAATAAATTCATTTTCATCTAGCCATCAAGATTTCCTTCCAGTGGAATTTAGCACTCATTCTGTTTTCTTCTTTTCTTTGCATGCAAATCCGTATTGATCTTTCAGATTTCAAGTGGCTAATATGATGGAATTTATGGATAATAAAGGGCAGACAAAAGTTGTTGAATTATTAATTGATCATGTTTTTCATGTATTTGGTCCATCAGAACAATATGATCCGATCAAATTAATTATAGCCCATATAACATCAAACGATGATAAAGCAATGATTGCTGACTACAATCAAATGAATACAGCCCGTGGCAGTATTTCCTTAGCTGGATGTGAAAGATCCAAGTCAACGTCTGGTACAGTTCCAGATGATATAGCTGAGTTGCGAACAAGTTTAGCAAATAAAACGGCTTCAAGCAATGCTAATAATGATGCGCTCTCTTCAGCAAATTTTCCTGTTAGTAATGCACTTACTGGTGGTATTAATCACAACAACAGCAACATCAATAATAATAGTAATAGCAAAGGAAATACATCAATACCTCCATCATCTAGTTTGCTGAGATCAGCTACAATATCGGTTTCGAGCCATACCAGAACTCCTGGAAGTAAGTGTTGTTATTTTTATAAGTTTAAATAAGTTGTCGTTAAACGTAAACGGTTTATCTGACGTTACCTGTCTGATACACTGTCAGACTAAACTTTTGTGACTACTTATCAAGAAAGAATCAGTAAAGGCCTCAGTTTGCTTGATTATGAGCCTCTTTACTAGCACTTAGTTGACTAGTAGGGACTATATAAGATGAGATTACACAAAAGTTGTTTTTCATTTTGCAGACAAAATACCGTGAACTAGAATTATACCTTCATAATAAAGTAAGAAATAGAAGTATCTATACTGGTCACAACATTTATCATTCGTAATGGTTAGTTTTCCTAGCCCTTCAGTTACTATTCCACCAAGTGACTAATATTAACCACCTATCACTTTGGAAATTGGTATCATGCCTCCATCTCACCACTGTAGGATTTCTTCCAATGCAAATATACTTTTAACAACATCAACTTAAGAAATAAAGGCCAGCAAGTCATGCATAATTACCACTAAAACTTAAGTTTACTTTTCCTAACTTCTATAGAAAACAATGGTTTATTCTACTGATAAATGTATGGGCCATGTGTGGAGCTCTATTCTTCTTCATATAAATGCTGCTAGTTATTTGATCTACTCAGAATTAGAGGAAAGACTACTTTTAGTTACACCGAGAAACGCTAGTAACAATCTATGACGTAATCTAAACATCTAGCGAGAAAGTATTTGAGGTAAACTATGAACTGCATTTCATTATTTATACCACAAATTAGATTGATGAGCGTTGATAAGCACTCGAGAAGTGATGAATACGTCAATTAATATATCCTATGATGATATCACAAAACAATCTAAACTATTTATACTTTAAATGCTGAAGAAAGAAACTGACATTCCTTCCATAATATAACTCTGATTCCTTTTGGTGTTCACATTAATATTTTTTACTGTGATAAGTCAATTACATTTTGTGGACTTTTGCAAATCAATGTTCATATTCTTCTTCATTACGCTAAATAACCACGAAATATTACGTACAGATAAGTTTTAAAAGAATAAGTAGTTACTATTTGGTAAACAATGTATCTGTCTTCATAATTGTTCAGAATTGAGTTAAGTTAATTGATCAAGTTTGCAGTGTAACCATCAAGTTAAATATCACGAAGCTTTCTACAGTCTGACTCTTACCATCTGACACTAAACATAGTGCATTAAAATATCCTGTATCACATACTTATCTATCCAACAACAGAAATGAAGTGTAATCATGTTCTACTACTGAGATTGAATTCCATTTCTTGATTGCTAACAATAAAGATGACATTTACTAGTTGACGTAATTTACAGTTGAGTATAGCCAACCTAGGCTCAATACATAATAGTCAGAGTAGTAAGTTTAGAACTCTGCCACTGAATCTGCATTTTTATTTCAATTTATATTACAAATATTGTTGATGAGTATAGGACTTTTTGATTACTGCTTAAACGATTCTTCAAATGTGAAGGCGATGACATAAACAAAAGTTTTTTTTTGGAAACTATTCCATCTTTATATGTTCATTATATATTGTAGAACTGCATAAAAATGCATATGAATCCAGTGTATGTGTTTTTTTTATTGACAACTCAACACTGATTAGTATTGACCCAGATTCATGTACCTGCATAAAATATAAATATTGACTTACCTTAAATTCTTTATCTTTATAGACTACAATGCGTTTAACGAAAAAATGTATTTCTTTAACTAGCTCTTCTTTCTGGAGCACTCCCACTGTATACTCCATTTCGATTAAATCAACCATCCGGCAAGGACACAGAAGACGCTATGAACACCACTAGATCTAATGTTACAACAGCCTCTGTATTTGGTGATGATAAAGTTACTATGTCAAGAATAGATAGTACATATGGAAAACCACATCCAATAGCAAATGAAAAGTCAAGTAATATCAGATCTGGTGTTCGATTACAAGACTTAGCCAAGACAACGAATGAACCAAGCACCAATATCACATCACCTACATCCAATACTGGAACGTGTAGTGGCAGCGGAAATGAATCTTCTGTGGTACGGGGAATTAAAAAGTTATGTGCAACAGGTAATCAATATTGTACAACATCAACACTGTCCATGTCATCAAATACATCCTCAAAACCATTTTCTTCCCCTGATAAACATAATACTTCCGGCTCAAAATCAACAGCATCAAATGCTTCATCTTCTACTGATTCGCATACAAATAATACTTTATCAGGTTTGGTAATTGGACGTCGTAAACCTATTGGAAAACTTATGACTGTGCATCACACCACAGATGGTACACCCACTTCCAATCGTCTCAATTTAGATCAATACAGTTTCATTGATAATGACTCACCTGGTAAGAACACACACCTTTTTACATATCGATACTTTGATAGTTTATGCAAAGGTTTTAAAGTCTTTTGATTTTGTGCGAGTTGTCTGAAATCAGTCAATAGAAGACTATGAACCAAGGTTTACTGCCTACTGATATATATATATATATATATATATATATATATATATATATATATATATATATATATATACATATATATATATATACATATATATTCCTTGGGTTCCTAATGTAACATTGGGCTTAAGTAGCACGTCTCCATTGCACTCTGTTCTCTGCAGTCTTCTCAACCTGGCTCCACGACAGCCCACAAGCTCTCATTTCCTCCTCGCACGATCTCCTCCATGTCACCCTCAACTCGGACGCCCAACTCGTCGCTTCCCATTGCGGTTCCACTCGAGGGCCTGGTCTGACGCGTGATGTCCCCAGTCGGTCTTCTCAGTGTATGCCCAATCCATCTCCACTTCCTTCTGCATATTTGTTGAGCGATATGTTCTTGATTGGTTCATTGTCCGACCAGAGTTCCTTGTTGCTTATTCTTTCTGGACATCTGATCTTCAGTAACGAGCCAGCGTAGGCAGTTGTTAATGAATGTCTGTAGTTTGTTTGAAATGCCTTTCATAACGCGCCAAGTCTCTGAACCATACAAAAGCACTGATTTGACGTTGGTGTTGGAAATCCGTATCTTGTTCCACATGCTGAGAGGAGTGCAGAAGATCTCTACACTGGTTTCAGGCAAATGAACGCCTGTCTTGCTTTTCCGATTCTGACTTTGACATCCTCGTCAGTGCCGCCACTGCCTGTAGTTGAAATAGTGCTTCCTAGACAGGTGAAAGAGGCTACATTCCTTAAGTTTCTCCCGTTGATGGTGACTGGAATTTGTTGTTGGTGTGGTATCTTCATCACTTCTGTCCTCTCTATATTCACCTGAAGTCCCGTCTTCACTGCCTTGCCTCTTCTGACAACTTGTTAGTTTTCGCCTGTAGATCACCAAGTTTGTGTGACATCAGACACAAGTCATCGCTGGCGAAATCCAAATCTTCTAGGTTCTTTTCCGCGGTCCAGCTTGTCCCCCTCTTCTCATTCCCCACTGTTTGTTGCATGATCCAGTCGACCACAATCAAGAATATCATAGGTGGTAGTAGGCAGCAGCCTTGTTTCACTCCTGTCTTCACTTCAAAAGCATCACTGAGCTTCCCATTGTGAATTACTTGGCATGTGGCATCTTCATATAGTTGTTGAATGAGGCTGATAAAGGTTTGCGGTACTCCGTAGTATTGAAGCAGTTTCCAAATTACCTCTCGGTCGACGCTGTCAAAGGCCTTCTCAAAGTCAATAAAGTTGAGGTAGAGTTGAGTTGACTGCCATTCTAAACTGTGTTCTATGATGATGCATAGAGTAGTTTTGCAATTTGGTCGGCACATGATTTGTACTTCCTGAATCCAGCCAGCCAGCCTGTTCGGTGGTAGTTTTGAATCCAACGCATCCTTCAGTCTCTCCAGGTTGATGCGGCTTAGTATTTTGCTTGGGGTGGACAGGAGAATGATTCAGTGCTAGTTCTTGCAAACACTGAGGTCTCCCTTTTTCAGAAGTTTGACAAGGTAGCCCTTCTTCCAATCTACAGGTACCTTGCCTTCCTTCCAAGCCTTCTGGAATAGTGGTGTGAGCATGTCGGCTGTTGTCTCTGTGTCTGTTTTCAGTGCTTCTGGTGGGATTCCATCTGGACCTGCTGCTTTGCGCATTTCAGTAGCTTTATGGCGTTCAAGACTTCGACTTTTGTTGGAGGATTTATGTTCACTTGTAGTTCAGCGGCCGGGCTGCAGGTGGTATTTCTGGTCGAAGTGCAGGTGGTGGTGGTGGTCGACTCAAGAGCTTCTTGAAGTGGTCGGCCCATCGTTTCCTTTGTTTCTCCTCTTTGGTGATTATATTTCCTTCATCATCTTTTATTGGTTTCATGTGTGTTGATCTCTCTCCTCCCAGATAGTAAGTAACCTGGTTATTTTATTGATATAATGATGTCAGGTCTCTATCTCTCTTACCTGCAGCCTGTTCTGCTTCATTTGCCAATGTGTCTTAGAAGTGTCTTTTGTCTTTGCATGCACTCTTCTTCACTTCTTTGTCCAGTGTTTTATACATTGTGTTCAGTTCCTCATGTCGCTCAGCATCCATGCACTGGTTTATCTTTTGCTTCACCATCTTACTCTCCCTGCTTTATCAGCTTCCATGTATCCATTCTTTATCTTCTTTCTTCTTCCTTCCCAATATGGCTGTGCAGGTTTCTTTCCACATAGCTTTCAAAGACTTCCAGTGTTCTTCTACACAGGTTTCTTCAGGGATGTTCCTCGATATCTCCCATTTTGTCTTGATGGCTGACGTGAAGATTTTCTTTATAGTTTCATCCTTCAGTTTCTCGTTGTTGAACTTGAACCGTGATCGTCCATCACCAACTTCCTTGAAGGCTTTCTACTTGATTTGGAAGGTTCCTTGCACTAGATGGCGAGTGGTCTGAGCCTACATCTACTCCTCTTCTTGACCTTGTGTCAAGTAGGCTGCGTCTCCACTTTCTTGAGATTCAGATAAAGTCGATTTGATTTTTAGTGTGTCCTGGTGCGTGGTGAAATCCATGTCGCTGCTTTGTGGATATCCTTGCGGTTGAACACACTGCCTCACTCCAATCACCAAATCGTTGAATGCACAGAATTCCGAAAACAATTCTCCATTCTCGTTCATCACCTCACCGAGCGCTTCTCGACCCATGGTTAGTTCTCTTCCTGTGTTGTCCCCTCTCAGTTTGGCATTCATGTCACCCATTAGAATTTTGATATTGCCAACTGGAGTGGGGTCTTGTCTAGTGTTGATTGCAGTTGTCTGTAGAATTCCTCCTTCTTCTCTTCATCTGCATTATTTGTAGGTGCGTAGCGTAGCGTTGTACGATTGTGACTTTCCTTTCTTTTGAGTTGAATTCATCGTGCTGTCATGATCCAGCTGGAGGAGGAGATTGGTTCCCACTGCATGGGAGAGAGAGCCTTCCATGCTGTTGGGGATACCATAAAAGTCACTTCCTCAGTGTGCTCGTGGTTGTCATCTGGGTGACCGGAGTAGATTATTGACTGTGCAGCTGATAGTTTGGAGAGTCCACTTCTGTTCCATCTGCTTTCGCAAATTCCAAGCACTTCAATGTGATACCTTCTCATCTCGTTTGCAATCTGTGCTGCCTTGCTGGGTTCAAACATGGTGTTGACATTCCATGTCCCCATGTTTACTTTTGGTTTTATCGAGTGAGGAGAAGACACATCAGCCAATTGGCTTCCCGAAGGCTTTCACCAAACGGCGTCATTTCGCCTCTCCGATTCCAGTGAGGAATAATTTTGTTTTCATTTTTATATTTTGTTTGTGCTTTGAAGTTTCTTTAGTGGTTAGATTTGTTTTGCGGGGTAGGGTTGCTAGCCCTATGCCCAACCTTCTTTCTTTACCCGGGCTTAGTACGGGCTAGTAACTAGTGAACTAGTTAACCAGGCGATGATGATGATTCACATCCACAGTTAGAAAAAAGTTAACTGCCACTTTATGACAAAGAAATGACTTACTAACTGGCAAACACCTATGATAAGTACTGTTATTTTAACAGTCAGTAAATATCACTGAATTTTATTCAACAAATTTCAGCATGGGGAGAAAGAGAGAGCACTTGGTATTGATTTATAAAGGCATACCATTTATAATTTTCAAGAGATAATCAACTGCTTAACAAAGTAGTATAACTATACTACATGATAGGAAGCTGATCTATTGAACAGTATATATTACACCAATGAAACTTCACAAAACAAAGAGATTTCCAGTTGTTTATCTTACCCGCATTGGAATCATTGCTCTTATGTGAAGGGATTAGCAACTATATGATATCAAGATAAGGTGTAAAGTCCTGTTTAAGCACATTAGGTCAGTCAATGCTCTTTTTAAACCTCTTCGCATGTCTTCACTTGCTTCAGAATATTTTACGTTTTACTGATCATATCTTTCATTGTTGTTATGACTGTTTTTATAAATTAGACCGTTGAAACTCTGTCCAAGGCTCTACTTGTTTGTTAGCATTACTTCGCAGTTCGTATCATTCTTCTTTGATTAAAGGAGAACAAGAACTGTTTTTCATTGACCATTGCTTGATGATCATTGTACTTTTTTAAAAGTAATCTGGTATTTTTATTTTTCCACTGTTTATTACAGACTGCCTAGAGCATACAAAACGTATAAGTGAATGATTTCACAAGAATATCACGTCAAAAATACAAATAAAGAAAATGAGGATAGCTGACTATGAATACTGGAAAATATACAAAATGATGATTGTAAACAATGAGACTGAAAGAAGCCTTGGGATTTAGACCGGAAGTCTTCTTGGGATATCAGCCTGACTGATTTAACTGTGAAATGCAACTTTTGGTTAGGTTTAAATTTCAGCTCAGTTCCCCTAATTAGGCAGTATACGTTAGTTGCATACTCAAGTATCATTCTTCACCTAACAATCAGGCAAAATGTTTAGTAATTTGATAGAAATACCTTAAGAAGCCTAGTGTTGAATTAAAAACCTGCAGACCACTGGCTCTTATTACTATTCATTGTCTTCTAACAATATCACCCCTCAAAACAGAATTATCTCAAACAGTTTTGTTAAGCTAATCCAATAAGGAGAAATCTATATCACTAATAAATGAAGAAAGTTTGGATATTTACATCATTTACCACCGAGTTTCACAGGTTTAACGGGAGTTGTACATGTGACACTTCTCAAGGTCTAGAAACACTAATTAAGCAAATATTTTTTTCTTTTTTGATTAAAGTTAAGCCTTTTTTCCTAAAAGACAACTGTTTTCATGATCAAAATTGTACACAGATGTGTGCACCTCTCATTGTGTACCTTCATTAATGTATAAGTTAACTAAACATTCAGTTTTCTGATACCAAAATAGCTTTGAAAATTTTGTACATCAAGTCAACCAAAGTATGAATCTCTTAAAGCTATTTGACATTGAAAATTTAAGTGTTACTAGAAATCAAGGTGATTCCGCTCCAACGCCTGATACATTTTCAAAAGGCATTTTTTTAAATATGCTAATTCATTTCCACTTCTTCAAAATAGTCTAGAATTTCCTCAATAACTTCTACTTTATATCTTGGCTCAACAAGCGTATGGATTGCAAGGGAGTTAATTCAATGGCATTATATGGTACTCTAAATAATCCAAATTATAAAAGACCAAAGTATTTTAAAGGAAAACTGAAATTTGTAAAGAGCTGAATATTTTAGCAGTAGTTAGCTGTAAACACAAATTTGGTAAGTTAAAGTAAGATACCGATTGTTTAGGCTCGACAGAGAGGTTATAGTCGATTATTCAACTCTAAATTGTCTCATATAGTGATACGTTTATAGTTTCTGGTGTGAAACTCAATATTTATTGTATTTACTCATCAGGGATGCTTTCATGAAATTAAAGTGGTAAAAATGAATGCTCTCAGCTTTTCACAATATTAGTGGTTACTTATGAGTCACTAGAGGGGGTTAGAAAACTCCTCTTTTGAGTGAGTGGTACAGACTAGCTGTAGGGTCCAGAAAGAAGAAGCTGTCTAGACAACTACTTTCATCACTTGAATACGTTAAGTCCTTATGATATCTTATGAGCTAGTCTTCAAGTCAAGACCTCAGAAAGTGGTTCTGTGAGAGGAAGTGACCTATTTAGTCGGGGTGCCTGGCTGCCATCTTAGTGATATCAAAAAATCGATGACATAACACTGCAATGAAATAGTTAAAAGGCTAAGCAATATCCATGATCTATCAGTAGACATTAATAATGTCTTTGTAATACATCTCCTCAAGAATAAATCTGTTTCTGCATCATTACTAACGATAAAATAAACAGATAATAAACAATACCTTACATCACGTATTTTTCTTTCCTATCCACCAATATCTATGTTACATGCACTACAAGTAAACTTGAATTTATTTCCCAATTAAGTATTGCATCCGGTTATTAATTTTGCAGTGAGTAATGTGTAATGTCCAGTCTTCCTATTATTCTAAAACACCTTGCCGAATCAGATTTTTTATTCATTGGAAACTTCCAAAACATGGATTTTCACTCCTCATCCAAATATCTAGACCCTAGGTAAAGTAATCAACTTTTTAAATAAAATGAGAATATGTAGTACAAGGCTTTCATAGTCTTGTATCACAAATTCATAAAAACACCTAGTATTTTATCATTTACTTAGCGTTATATTCATCAGATAGTCATCTATAGTTCTGTCAGGACTTTCAACTTTTTTTAGTCAGTATACCTTGGCTTTCTATAAATAATAATAGTCCTGAAAAGGAAAACTGTTCGGAATTTTCGCTATATGGGCAACATTATGCTGTGCTCTTTAAAGGATGTAAAAACTGGTGAAATATACAACTCAACAATAGAAACTAACATGCATAGCGGAACACCTGAGTACAGTCTATGTGGTATCAGATATTTGGAAACAACCGATTTTGCGTTTAAACTCTCTATCTTCAGCTAATACATGGTCAAGGTATTAATGACCAATTATTTACGTACTATTATTTGTAGTCAAACTAAAGGTCAGTGTGTATTTGATAAGTTTAGAACTATCATCACTGACATCTGAGATGAATGGCAAAGACTCAATTTTCTTGGTGTTGCACAGATGTCGCGTGTAGTGTAGACGAATACTTTATCTGAGCAAACTATTTATTACCAACTGACTTTAAATATCCCTTACCAAGGTGTGCCACGATGATTTAAATCTTGGAAATCACTGAACAGTTTTCCCTAAATATAAAAATTAAATAACTAGTCATTACACATGTTAAATGATTTCCCCACGTATAAAATAATATTGTTTATGATTGACGTGAGTTTATCTTAATTCTACTTTATTCTTTTTGGTCATTTAGATCATGTAAACGGTTAACAATTCTTCAAAATAATAATATAATCATAGCAACATACCATAAATTTTTTGATCAACAGAAAAGTTTTTTTACATTATGAAACTATACATTTGTCTTCCTACACCTGTTATCAAGCAATTATGGCAGTTTTAATCAGCCAGCATGCATATATATGTGCGTGTATGCACAACTTTTCTAATTTCTTTAAATAAATTTTATCTTACTACGAATAATAATCACCAGTACGTAGAAAGCTGTTATTATTATAAACTTTTATTCATTATTAACTATATATATGTATGAAGAGAAAATTTCAATCCGCTTGAAAAAGATGAAAGACTGAATAATCAGATAAAGGAGATGATTTTTACTCCAATTTCATTTGTTCCCCTTTTATAACAGACAACAATTCTATACATATACATTTTAATGAGAAATGTATTAAAATTTTAAAAATAAACCTTTTCATAACTGATATCTAAAAATTTCAATTGCATGTTACTTACTTTACAAGTGAATATTATCGAGATTTTTTCTTCATCGACATTATTACTTTTACAATACTTATCATTATAATTTAAATTTTATTTGCATCTAATTTACCCCTGTCATCTTTCAATGTTCTTATAATTATGTTTTATTAAATTGTCTGTTATACACATGCTTGCACTCAGACAGACTATATTTATCTATCAACTAAAGATAAGACAAGATATTATGGATAAGAAGATGGATATCGTTTCCACAGTTTTATTCAGTATATTATACATACTATTCTAGTATTTGCATTTTCAAACGCATACATATACACTCAAATTTATTGTTTCTCAAAGATGTTTCAAGTTATTTATATTGCTAATCAACTTTTCAGCTGGATATATTCTGTTTTAATTGTTCTAGTGTTAGGTTTTGCCTTTTCAAGTTTGTTTGTTTATTGCTTTTTTTGACGTGGTAAGATGAATAATAATACTATGATGGAAATGATTGTTTTGAAGTATAATCACTGAACTCTCTTTTATACAAGAAATAAAAGATGAAGATATTCTAAAAGCGAATTTCAGCCAGACATGAGGGTGTTAACGATTTCTGTTATTGGTGTGTTATTAGTCTTGTGGACGCTACAAAATCTACATCTCTCTCACTCTTGCTCGAAAAAATGAACTTATTAAATTATATATTCAAAGTCATATTAACGACATGTATACAAATATTTGGTTTTATCTCAATCTCTTAATACTCACCGTCTAGAGCTTTATACGAGGACAGAAAAAGAATTATTCTGATTACGTTAAAGTCAGTCGAAAGAAAATGATGATAATATTGAATCTCATTGGGAACAATATCATTCACTGGGGTGCAGGTACATGTAACTGATGAATCCTAAGTAGGACGAAACCTGCCTACTGGGTTCTACTGTTAGCCACCAAGCAGATTACAACATGATTATGATATATTTGTTTGCTTAAACGTTATCCGCCTTCTCATCAAGTTAAGATATATTAAACAGGAAGGAATCAATAACAATGACAGAAAACTGAATAAATCTAAAAATAGATTCGAGACGTTTATATATAGATATCTCTGTTCTTCTGATACATCTTAATAAGCTATTCATTGGACTAGTATTGTGGGATATTACCATTGTGACTAGCACTATCTACAATAATAAATAATGTAGCTCGAGGTTTATGAGGTTTTATTTTCAAGGTGTATTCACCACGGACCAAAGTCAATTGAGGAGCCATTGAAAACCTGAGAGCACTGGACACCCGTTTCGTTCTAGTATGGGACTCCTTAGAAGTGTGCACCCACAAACCAGCCAGGAGTCGAACTCAGGGTTTTCAGCTGTTTAGTTCCCAGTGGTTCCCCAAGTGTTATCAGTCCTTGATGAATACAACCTTAAATAATTTGACTAACTTATGACAGTTATAGTTTGCAAAGTGTATTGATTGAAATTAAGATGAAGACTTGTATGATGGAGGGATTAGAAGAGGTGATCATCAGATTATCGTCCCAACTCTCTCCTCACTGAGACACGAGATCTAGTGGATGACAGTTTTGCCGAGCTTTTATATGAAAAACCGTCGCTTTCCCACTCTAGTTCACTTGCTTCCAATTAAGTTAAGAAAACTTAAATTAGCACCTAGTTTTATCCACTACACTTTGTTCTAAACTATAGCTGTTAGGCATATCTTTTAACGATGAATGATGCAGATAGATGATTCAAGGTGACTATAACGAGTACTTAGCCCACCAACTCAAATCCATTTTAAATTTAATACTACTTATAACTAGAATAGATTGGTGAGAGCCCATTAACTAACAGAAAAACAATTTATCCGTATGTTCTTTGACTTTTGCTTTAAGTCACTTCACAGTATGCAGGCTTCCCAAGACGTCAACGAATTTAAGAAATTAGTAAGCGGTAGCCTTAGTAGTACAGCGCTAAACGATGATCATTGATCTCCTCACCTGTGTATTATCATCTTTAGAAGTCTTTTTATTTCATTGGTTCATTTTCACCCTATTACTAATTAATTCTTCATTTTGTGAACATCCCAAAAAAATTAGTGATTTTAAAGTAGACAAAATTTTATGGAAGGAAAGAGGAGAAATAAGTGAATGCGAATAAAAATGTTAGAACTTTCGAAAATGTCAGATGGTGAATACATTTTCTCCATTATGGCCAAAATTCTGCAACCATTAATTCCCCGTTATCTCCAAGACCCCAACTAATCAATTTACATCTTTTTACATAACTTAGACAAACAATCAAATACGTCATAGCTTGGTGCCACATTTTGATCTGGCCACTCTTAACCTTCTTTCGATTCAATCAGTTCTATTCAGCTAACGTTGCATATAGCAGTAGATGGTGAATCGACCTGCAAATATCTTAGTGATGTTGTACGAATCCGTGAAAAGTGACTGGGATACATAATGCGTTGGCTGTATTATTTCTTCCACCCCTTAGATCCCTTCGGCGTTTGCTTGGTATACAGACAGTTTTTACTATGAACACCGAAAAATACAAGTCGATATTTATTCGTTTCTCTCAGCAGCAAAGCACTTAGGCACAAACATCGCTTCTAGAAATCAAAATAATTTCAAATTTTTAGTGATCATATGATCGATCACTGAATTTATAGGTTGTTTCAATGTTATCTGGCTTTCTTTCACGTTGATGAAAAATGGCCTTAAATTCATCAAATTTCTAAATTCTGTGAGTCTCATCATACGATATTGCTTTAGTAAAAACATTTACAATTGTAATCTAGTGAGGTTCAGATAAGAAGTCAAGTATTCAAAGGCTAACGGGATAACTGATAGGGATAACCAGTTTGCTAGGGAACAATAATACTATCTTATAAACTTCACGATTAGAATTTGATCTGTTCGAGTTGAATAAGTTGAGCAGTGGGTAAATAGGTTATAAATGAAATATATTTGTAAAATCCCAATGGATTAGAAAAATTAAATAAATAATCGTTTCTCTGAAGAAGCGAAACGTCGGAAATTTATTTTTCTGATTCATTGGAATTTTACAAATATATTTCATTTATAGTAGTACTATCGTGGTAAATAGGCCATCAAAGTAAAACACGATCACTATTCGATTCATATGAAGTGAATCGACAATAGTTTGGTCAGTCAGATGGTAGGTTTCTAAGAGTGAGGTGTTCTTTATCTCATGCTGATTTATAATTTATCCACAGGACGATGAAAATCTGGTTCTGTAAAGATCTAAGGATAAATAGTTATGTAGTGGTCAACTTGTGATATCCGTAAAGTCGGAAACCTTATTAATTACCTACAGAATAACTTAAGTTCATTCTTATTCTGATTAGGATGTTTAGAATATGCGCATAAAATTAAAGACATAGCTTTTCTAATTTCGTCTTTAGCGTTGATCAAGTTTCACTACACATGAAAACATTATCATTGAGATGGTTCTTAGTTAGATCTACGACTATCAAAGCTAAATTTCAGTGTTTCAGTTTGGATGAATTGGCTTTTCCTTAATTTCAAGCTCATGAAAAGCCAATGAGACTTTGTTGATCAAACCACTTTTTCCACACTTCATTTCCACTAAAATTGTTAGTTTCGTTTATAACAACTCTATTGCTGAAGTCACAGGGGTTTTTACACCACTTTACACCACTCAACCATCTTATAATTATCAAAAGAATGTCACAACTGGTTTGCATGAGTAGCTCTGTTCGCTTTTCAGGTATCCTGATCTAGAAGCGAGTAGACTAATGAATGATAGCTTCATTTGTTAAATAAGTGAATCAACACTTTATTCTGAATTATCTATATAATCGGATGCCTACATAGTTTGGAACAAAAACAAGGAAGCAAACAACGAAAAGCAAAAAATTGGAAAAGCTGCAAGTAATTAAGTTCGCATTTGCTGAGTCATCAGTTCACATTTTTCTCTTCTTCTTTCCCCTTCTAGATTCTCGCGGTCTCCAATAAACTCACACGTCCCCCTACTGCAACAACGTACGTAACAACCTAGAAGCTAGACAAAAACCTATTGTAGCTGCTCTTAACAAGTTGACTGACTTTTAGCATTGATTTACGAAGTTAGTTTCAATATACTTGTAATGCTGATTGGTATAAAAAGCGTCTTCAGAGGTTTTAAGTAGAACTGTTTGGGGTCCACGACACTGTCACATGACAAAGAATGCTCTTATGTAACGATAATTCATAATTATGTGTGACTTCTCAATATCGCCAGAACACCACAGATGTCCGTTGCATTTCCTTGGTAAATTCTTGGTGATGCACATCTCAACTTAATGTTCTGTCACACTTACAAACCATGGAAAACATTAGGATTCTGAATAGAATATCCGTTATCTTCTCTATGAAACTGTGTAAACCAACTGATATATTCCCACTCGCTTTTAGGACTTGAGGAACTGTTACAAGTCATTGATGGATCCCTATGTAATAAATTCACCCACTCACCTGGTGTTGCTTTGGTAGACACAAAAGATGTTTAGTTTCGGTTACGTTTTCAAGAAAATGTGCGATTTGTCCTGGTAGAGTATTGCAGATGGATTTGTAGTGCACCTTCCTGGCACCAAAATATAACTAGGGCTAAAATAAATAGTTTAAATTAAATTAACTAAATAAATCTCTAGCTTGCCTCCGGATGCTTAGGGTGTTTTAAGTTTTGTTTTAACGAGCATGCATCCGAGCAGGCTTGGACGCCATTTTTGCGCTCCATTGTGCTGATCACCACGCACGTACTCCGAGTCCCTAGTTCAGCCTTACAAGCCAGATAAGTTGATTAAACTTTTCCCTCATTCATTATTATAACATTTACCTTAAATACATAGCTCCTTTAAATACATTGCGTATCAGTTCTTTTGATTTGTGTTTTGTTACCAGTACTTACACGTTAGGTAAAGTACTGGTTAAGCAGGTACTAGAGCACATCAAATTAAGTAGGGTTGATCAAACGTTACGGAATTGTAACACGCATCCCTACAAAAATTGGTGAGCCCGAGTATCACTTCTTATTTTGTCTAGTACCTTTGTTCTCTTGCGTTGATTTGTCTGGCCTAATTTTGTTTTTGGCACGTCTAGCGTTTTTTTTATATTATTGCACTCCTCATTGGTTATTTTTGCATTGTAATTTTTTTATTATCACTATCGTGCCTCGTTAATTCCCTGATCAATGGCGGATAACGACTCGACTGCGCAGATGGCCATAACCCTCCAGCTTCCCACCTTCTGGGCCCACAGACCATCTGCATGGTTCTCCCATGTGGAAGCTCAGTTTGCCTTGAGACACATTCAATCACAAGAAACTAAGTCCAACTTAGTCATCGTCAGCTTACCGGAAAATGTGATTGAAGACGTGTCAGATGTGCTAGATGACCCAGCACCGAATCTTTACGATCGCCTCAAAACCGCCCTCATCAAACGTGTTGCACTTACTGACCAGCAGAAAGTGCAAGAACTTTTCAGGGATGTGCATCTGGGTGATCGCAAGCCGACGCAACTGCTTCGTCAGATGAAGCAGCTGATTGCTGACTTCAACATTGATGAAGCATTTCTCAAGCAACTGTGGTTACAGAGGTTACCACAGTCGGTTCAAGGGATCCTCGCACCCTTCCATAAGTGTCCCTTAATAGAGTTGGCGGAAGCGGCTGACAGAGCTGTGGATGCTACGAAACCCAACACTAGTATCTCAGCTGCACTGTCTACTGCCACGGATTCGTTCAAAAATCCTCCCTCGGCTGTTGAGCCAACAAGTTTCGATGTTATAACTCACATCTCAAAATTGTATGAAGAGTTGTGCAGCATCAGGAACGAAATGCGGTCTGGTAGTTCTTACAAAGGTCGCACGTCTCGCTCGCGCAACAGGTCTGCCTCCCGTACCGATAGCAGACGTTCCAAATCGCGACAATCCCAACCCAGGTTGTGCTGGTACCATAAACGTTATGGTGCCAATGCCAAAAAGTGCACTCGACCTTGCACCTTCGAGGCTAACCAGGCGGGAAACGTGTGAGCCAGCACGTGACGGCGACTAACGTCGCTGGCGAGCCACTTCCATGTCGCCTCTTCTTCGTCACTGATCGACATTCTGGGATACGCTTCCTAGTTGACACTGGGGCAGAAGCTAGCGTCATCCCACCTACGAAGGAAGAGCGTCTGCGGCCAATGTCTCTGCAACTTCGTGCCGCCAACGGTTCGCCCATCACAACCTATGGTCGGAGATTCCTCGATCTCAACCTTGGATTGCGTCGTCCCTTTCGTTGGGTTTTCATAGTGGCAGATGTGACCACCGGCATTATTGGTATGGATCTCTTGCAGCACTATCAGCTGCTGGTAGATGCTGGCAAGCATAAGTTGATAGATTCTACCACAACACTCTCTGTTTCCGGTATAGTCACAAAGACGCCGCCCCTCAGTCCCGTGTACTGCACGACGGACGCTTCTAGTCCCTATGCGTCTATCATTCAGTCCTTTCCGGATGTCTTTAAGCCAAGTCGTTGTGTCCCTTGTGTGACTTCGAACGTTTCTCATCACATAACGACGACTGGCCCTCCAGTATTTGCGAAACCACGGCGATTATCCCCGGAGAAACTGCGTGCTGTAAAAGCCGAGTTCGAACACATGCTTGAAATGGGAATAATCAGACCATCCAACAGTCCATGGTCTTCACCCTTGCATGTGGTACCCAAGAACAATGGCATGGACTGGAGGCCTTGTGGTGACTACCGAAGGCTCAACGCTAAAACGATTCCAGATCGTTACCCAGTCCCTCACATTCACGACTTGACTGCATCTTTAAAAGGCTCGGTTATCTTCAGTAAGCTTGACTTGACGCGTGCATATCATCAGATCCCGGTTCATCCTGATGATGTTCCCAAGACAGCCGTCATTACACCGTTTGGTCTTTTTGAGTTCCTCCGTATGCCTTTTGGTCTTCGCAATGCAGCACAAACCTTCCAACGTTTTATTCACGATGTTTTACGTGGACTCGATTTCGCCTATGCCTACCTAGACGATATACTAATCGCTAGTCCAGACGAAGACACCCATTTTAACCACTTGAAACAGGTTTTCGCCAGACTGTCAGAGCATTCGATGACAGTCAACCTGGCCAAATGCCAATTGGCGTTCGTTCACTAAAATTTTTGGGACACGTTATCGACGAGCAAGGCATTCGCCCACTACCTGAAAAGGTACAGGCGATCCAAGACTTCCCAGTCCCAGCGTCACTTAAAGCTCTGCGTGTGTTTCTGGGTATGGTGAGCTATTATCGTCGCTTCATTCCCCAATGTGCACACATTTTGACTGCACTGACCGACCTGCTGAAAAGTAAATGTAAAACTTTCAGCTTGACTCCTGAGGCACTAGAAGCATTTCGCAAGATCAAAACCGCAATAGCAGACGCCACGATGCTGGTGCATCAAGACGTAAACCTACCTCTCAGCATTGCGGTTGACGCCTCTAACACGGCCATTGGAGCTGTGTTGCAACAACTTTCGGATCACACTTGGATCCCAGTTGCATTCTTCTCCGGAAGTTATCCACCTGCGAAATGCGGTACAGCACTTTCGGCAGGGAACTGCTCGCCATATATGCCTCAGTGAAACATTTTCGTCATTTTGTGGAAGGTCGTGACTTCATCATCTTTACCGACCATAAACCTCTGACGTATGCCTTACACACCACTACTGACAGATATTCACCGCGTGAATTACGTCACCTAGATTATATTTCGCAATTCACGTCGGACATCCGTCATATTTCTGGTGTGAATAACCCTGTCGCGGACGCACTGTCTCGCGTTTGCACCACTACTTTGCCTCGAGCAGTCGACTTACGGAAGATTGCCGAACTTCAGGATTCAGACGAGGAGATTGGAAAACTTCAACACTCATCCTCTCTGAAGATACAGCGTTACCGCTCCTGAACAGTGAAGTGTCAATATTGTGCGACACCTCCACAGGCACACCCAGACCCTTGCCGCCGGACTCCCTAACAGACTCGTTTAGTCGCGCGTATCCTGAACCTTCTAAAAGAGCCACGTCTAGTAACACTGATCCAGTAACCTCTACACGTGCTGGGAGGCGTGTACATTGGCCCAAGCGATACGCCGAGTTCGTTAATTAGCCCCAGAGCAACTTCACACTTGGTGAATTCGGAGTTTCAACTACTTTGTCGTGGCATACACTTTCAATGCGTTTTCATACCTAAAGTTTTCAAAAGTCATGTTTACTACTTTGCAAACAGTTTTTTTTTCAAAAAAAAAAAAGAAAAACCAAAAATACAATTTAAATTCCGAAAACTTTTTTTGGTTGGTTATTATTTTTTTTTCTGTACTACTCCCACTTCGAATTGTTTGGTTTTCCTTTTCTTAGCACTCTAATGTCCCATTTCTTTCTTCTTGCAGAACCTAGAAAATGCGTTGAAAATTGGATACAATTGGCCGCTGACGATGCTACTTGGATCGTTCTTCGGTTCTCTTTGTACCAATTTCCCCCTGTACACTCCCCGGTAGATTAAGAAGCAATAGGGAAAAGTAGACGGAGGCTTTGGGTCACCTTCCACCACTGCGAGAAGGGTTGCGTCTAGACGCAAAGTTATCTTACCTCGTAGGTGTGCATAGTTGCACTAGCTTCGGAGACCCACACGTCACCTACTCCATCACCAATATGGAAAGGTGTTGCGTGTCCGCCTCGCAGTCGCCTCCTAGGATCGAAGGTTGCCGGTATCCCAACAACCTTCTAGGAGGGGGATAACCTGTAGTGCACCTTCCTGGCACCAAAATATAACTAGGGCTAAAATAAATAGTTTAAATTAAATTAACTAAATAAATCTCTAGCTTGCCTCCGGATGCTTAGGGTGTTTTAAGTTTTGTTTTAACGAGCATGCATCCGAGCAGGCTTGGACGCCATTTTTGCGCTCCATTGTGCTGATCACCACGCACGTACTCCGAGTCCCTAGTTCAGCCTTACAAGCCAGATAAGTTGATTAAACTTTTCCCTCATTCATTATTATAACATTTACCTTAAATACATAGCTCCTTTAAATACATTGCGTATCAGTTCTTTTGATTTGTGTTTTGTTACCAGTACTTACACGTTAGGTAAAGTACTGGTTAAGCAGGTACTAGAGCACATCAAATTAAGTAGGGTTGATCAAACGTTACGGAATTGTAACACGCATCCCTACAAAAATTGGTGAGCCCGAGTATCACTTCTTATTTTGTCTAGTACCTTTGTTCTCTTGCGTTGATTTGTCTGGCCTAATTTTGTTTTTGGCACGTCTAGCGTTTTTTTTATATTATTGCACTCCTCATTGGTTATTTTTGCATTGTAATTTTTTTATTATCACTATCGTGCCTCGTTAATTCCCTGATCAATGGCGGATAACGACTCGACTGCGCAGATGGCCATAACCCTCCAGCTTCCCACCTTCTGGGCCCACAGACCATCTGCATGGTTCTCCCATGTGGAAGCTCAGTTTGCCTTGAGACACATTCAATCACAAGAAACTAAGTCCAACTTAGTCATCGTCAGCTTACCGGAAAATGTGATTGAAGACGTGTCAGATGTGCTAGATGACCCAGCACCGAATCTTTACGATCGCCTCAAAACCGCCCTCATCAAACGTGTTGCACTTACTGACCAGCAGAAAGTGCAAGAACTTTTCAGGGATGTGCATCTGGGTGATCGCAAGCCGACGCAACTGCTTCGTCAGATGAAGCAGCTGATTGCTGACTTCAACATTGATGAAGCATTTCTCAAGCAACTGTGGTTACAGAGGTTACCACAGTCGGTTCAAGGGATCCTCGCACCCTTCCATAAGTGTCCCTTAATAGAGTTGGCGGAAGCGGCTGACAGAGCTGTGGATGCTACGAAACCCAACACTAGTATCTCAGCTGCACTGTCTACTGCCACGGATTCGTTCAAAAACCCCTCCCTCGGCTGTTGAGCCAACAAGTTTCGATGTTATAACTCACATCTCAAAATTGTATGAAGAGTTGTGCAGCATCAGGAACGAAATGCGGTCTGGTAGTTCTTACAAAGGTCGCACGTCTCGCTCGCGCAACAGGTCTGCCTCCCGTACCGATAGCAGACGTTCCAAATCGCGACAATCCCAACCCAGGTTGTGCTGGTACCATAAACGTTATGGTGCCAATGCCAAAAAGTGCACTCGACCTTGCACCTTCGAGGCTAACCAGGCGGGAAACGTGTGAGCCAGCACGTGACGGCGACTAACGTCGCTGGCGAGCCACTTCCATGTCGCCTCTTCTTCGTCACTGATCGACATTCTGGGATACGCTTCCTAGTTGACACTGGGGCAGAAGCTAGCGTCATCCCACCTACGAAGGAAGAGCGTCTGCGGCCAATGTCTCTGCAACTTCGTGCCGCCAACGGTTCGCCCATCACAACCTATGGTCGGAGATTCCTCGATCTCAACCTTGGATTGCGTCGTCCCTTTCGTTGGGTTTTCATAGTGGCAGATGTGACCACCGGCATTATTGGTATGGATCTCTTGCAGCACTATCAGCTGCTGGTAGATGCTGGCAAGCATAAGTTGATAGATTCTACCACAACACTCTCTGTTTCCGGTATAGTCACAAAGACGCCGCCCCTCAGTCCCGTGTACTGCACGACGGACGCTTCTAGTCCCTATGCGTCTATCATTCAGTCCTTTCCGGATGTCTTTAAGCCAAGTCGTTGTGTCCCTTGTGTGACTTCGAACGTTTCTCATCACATAACGACGACTGGCCCGCCAGTATTTGCGAAACCACGGCGATTATCCCCGGAGAAACTGCGTGCTGTAAAAGCCGAGTTCGAACACATGCTTGAAATGGGAATAATCAGACCATCCAACAGTCCATGGTCTTCACCCTTGCATGTGGTACCCAAGAACAATGGCATGGACTGGAGGCCTTGTGGTGACTACCGAAGGCTCAACGCTAAAACGATTCCAGATCGTTACCCAGTCCCTCACATTCACGACTTGACTGCATCTTTAAAAGGCTCGGTTATCTTCAGTAAGCTTGACTTGACGCGTGCATATCATCAGATCCCGGTTCATCCTGATGATGTTCCCAAGACAGCCGTCATTACACCGTTTGGTCTTTTTGAGTTCCTCCGTATGCCTTTTGGTCTTCGCAATGCAGCACAAACCTTCCAACGTTTTATTCACGATGTTTTACGTGGACTCGATTTCGCCTATGCCTACCTAGACGATATACTAATCGCTAGTCCTGACGAAGACACCCATTTTAACCACTTGAAACAGGTTTTCGCCAGACTGTCAGAGCATTCGATGACAGTCAACCTGGCCAAATGCCAAATTGGCGTTCGTTCACTAAAATTTTTGGGACACGTTATCGACGAGCAAGGCATTCGCCCACTACCTGAAAAGGTACAGGCGATCCAAGACTTCCCAGTCCCAGCGTCACTTAAAGCTCTGCGTGTGTTTCTGGGTATGGTGAGCTATTATCGTCGCTTCATTCCCCAATGTGCACACATTTTGACTGCACTGACCGACCTGCTGAAAAGTAAATGTAAAACTTTCAGCTTGACTCCTGAGGCACTAGAAGCATTTCGCAAGATCAAAACCGCAATAGCAGACGCCACGATGCTGGTGCATCAAGACGTAAACCTACCTCTCAGCATTGCGGTTGACGCCTCTAACACGGCCATTGGAGCTGTGTTGCAACAACTTTCGGATCACACTTGGATCCCAGTTGCATTCTTCTCCGGAAGTTATCCACCTGCGAAATGCGGTACAGCACTTTCGGCAGGGAACTGCTCGCCATATATGCCTCAGTGAAACATTTTCGTCATTTTGTGGAAGGTCGTGACTTCATCATCTTTACCGACCATAAACCTCTGACGTATGCCTTACACACCACTACTGACAGATATTCACCGCGTGAATTACGTCACCTAGATTATATTTCGCAATTCACGTCGGACATCCGTCATATTTCTGGTGTGAATAACCCTGTCGCGGACGCACTGTCTCGCGTTTGCACCACTACTTTGCCTCGAGCAGTCGACTTACGGAAGATTGCCGAACTTCAGGATTCAGACGAGGAGATTGGAAAACTTCAACACTCATCCTCTCTGAAGATACAGCGTTACCGCTCCTGAACAGTGAAG